GTGACTTATTTGAACTCTCCTTGCTTCACTTTCTCTTTTCTTTAAAAACTTTTTATTGAATTTATTGGGATGACAGTGGTTAATAAAATTATAAAGGTTTCAGATCACTTTTTCATCTTTATAAAACATAATAAATAAAATAATGTTGCTTTACACTTATTTTAAATAAATTTAAATTTCAATAAATGTTATTCTTAAATCAATGAAAAATATTTTTTTGACTTCACAGAACCCATTTATTATTGAATTATTATGAGAATTAAGTGAATACATGGAAGCTTCACAAAAATTCCTAGTGCATCGTAAATACTCAATAAAAAGGAACTATTGTTATAGTCAATATCCATTATTTGCAGTTTTTGTATTTGCAAATTTGCATACTTCCTAAAATTTATACGTAACTTCAAAATGAATAGATGCAGTGTTTCATTTTCTGTGTGTGTGTGTGTGTGTGTGTGCATCTGTGTGTGTGATCATTCATGAACATTCGCAGATTGGTAAAAGTTTGAGTTGTCCAAGACACATGTTCCCAGCTAAGGTCATTCAAGGTGACACTCTACCTCTGTTTCAGCTCATAAACAAGTCTCCTTCTAATGTCCTATTTCGTGCCATGTTTTCTCACGTATGTGTGGGTTTAGTGATTTTGCCATTTAGAATGGCCTTCACGGGTAGTGCTGAAGTGCTGTGTGGGTTCCTAAGCACAAGAAGGCTGCGGGGTGCTTGTGGGGACACCCGTGCGTTAGATAAGGGTTTAGGCGTGAGTTCTGGTGCTGCTGGCTGTGAGCTTGAGGTTACCGATTCAACGATATGTATTAAATAAGGTGTCATTAAACAGAAACACACACAAAATAATATTGTGTGTGGACTGACTGAGATACATATTGTGACCGGAGGCTCCCAGTGACCTAACCTTGTGCTTTTCCTAGGAGCTGTATTCACTGTTGGCATTGGAGTAATGTTATAGAACATACACTAATTACTGTGAATAATGAGAATCAGTTGTATCTCTCCTCCCAGTCACGAATCAGCTTCTCCAGAAAGTAGTTGTAACTCAAAACCTCCATCTCATCACGCTTCCTTCCACGGTGTTTTATCACCTCACCTTTACCTGGCATCTGAGGCTCCAGGAGGGGGTCTGTCCAACATCAGCACCCCGGGAAGCAGGGGCCCCCTCGGGCTCTCAGCTGCTTTCTGCAGGTCGTTGTCGCTCTTCCCTCTCCCCCTTTGCAGGGTGACTTTCTCTGGGCCAGTTGTTCTCATGGAAGGAGAACGGTCGTCATCCGACATTGATTTTTACATCCTGCCATCCAAATAGCCAAACAGAGATTGTCGGTTCTCTTCTAGGTTCTATACATCCTAAGGAAGACTTAGGTCCCAGGCTGGATCAGGTGCTGCTACCTTGACACCCAGTTGAGGCCTGTGTGTGTGTGTGTGTGTGTGTGTGTGTGTGGTACTGTGAAGTGGTGGTTGTGCCTACAGCTCTGTGGGCGATGTCTAGAGTGTATAAACTGCCTTGGCTGATGCAGTAACAATGGCTCATAATGTGGTTATTTACATTTAAATATAAATTAATTAAAAGAAGTAAAAGTCCAGTCTTCAGCTATACCAGTCACATTTCAAGTGCTCAATAGCCACACAAATTTAGTGGCCAGGGTACTGGGACAGTGCAGATATAGGACACTGTCAGCATCACAAACTTCTATTTCACACAGTACCACTGTAGCTAAGGGCTTTTCCTAGAAAAGGATGGAGGTGAGCATAAGGAGGGGCGCTTGGGACAGTTAAATCAGTAGGTGTCTTCTACAGCCCCTGCAAATACTTGATAAAACTCGCCCAGTCCCTTTCAGGCAGTTTCTTCCTCTGGCACTCGGATATTTTTTACACTTGCAATTGCCCTGTGATCCTTTCCCCCTCCCCTAAGTGACTCAACCATTCCTATGGCATTAAATAGCTACATGTTAATGACTCCCAAATTTTTATCTCATTCCCAGACCCCTCTCCTAAGCTCCAGACCCACAGACCTGTCTATTTAATACTCCAACTGGATGTGTCCGAAGCCCACTGGCACTGCTATCTCACAAGGAATCCTCCATCTTCCCCAAATCTCCTCCTCTTCCCAGGCCCCCCATCTCAGTAGATGGCATCTCTACCTGCCCAGATTGTCATGCCAGAAGCCTTGCAAAAATCCTTGGTACCTTCTTTCACCTCCCTCTCAACACCCCTCTGGTCAATTAAACATTCAAACTATTTCTCTAATCCAGCCACATTAAAAACATTTTTCTAATGCCACCGTCTTAATGCCACATTCTCTTCCATGTTCCCCCTGGTTAATATTTACTCAACACTCTGCTTCTGCTCCAATGTTATCTTCTTAAAAAATCCCTCTCCACCTCTGATCTACATTCTACCTTTTAATGTCATTCCATGTTATGCTTTTGCTTTTCTCAAATATAATGGATTATGTGTTTCATTATTTAATGTCTAATCTTTCTTCTCTAGTTTGATAAGAGCAGAGAACATGGTGGGTTTATTGTTCTCTAAATCTGTACTACCCCTTGGGAAACAGCCCTTGCTTATTTACCAAACTTTAGAAGATGTATCTGTGAGCTTTTTGAATTCCTCTTTTTGTTCCTTTATCTGTGGTTGAAGATGTCCTTTGGTTGTTTTTATTTTCTCATGGTTTCAGTTTCTTCACTCTGAAGATGACTCCCAATCAACAGTATACACCTTAGCTCTTCTGAGAGACCTGATCTCGTCTCTAAAATTAGCCTCTCCTTTCCTGCCTCCTCAGCTTTCTGAGGAGAACATGTTCTCTCAAAATTCCAACTCATAATGATTCTGCCCCTAGGACAGCACCCAGACTGACCTCCCCTCCAGTCACCGAGACCTCTGAGTCCTCTTGTTCACCTTGGGATCTTAGTCCTTGCAAACAGCACCTCCGAGGGATGTTCAATGCACAGTCTGCCCAACCACAGGGAGCCTGCATCCTTCCTGCCTCTGAGGTCTCACGTCTGTCTGTCTTATTGCCTGGACCTTGGAGGAGCTCCCTAATTCATATCCCTATCCCTATCCATATCCTTCCGACAGACTGTCGTTTCCCAACGCTGCAAAACTGTTCTGTTGAAAAGAACTAATCGAATATTGTACTTGTCTGATTTTGTAAATGAAGAAACATAGGTACAGAAAGGGGCAGACTTGTCACTCAACCCAAAGCCTTCTTCCTTATACCAGTAGCCCCACTAAGCTCAGAAAGCCTCATGGCTTCCTCTCCTACATGTAAAAGACAAAACTCTTTCTAGCCATTCACACGAGACTTCATATAATCAGGAGCTCATCTACCCCTCTATTCTTTGAATGCCTTACATTCAACATATATATATATATATATATATATATATATATATATATATATATATATATATATATATTTGCTGGAGGATCTTAGGTCTTTTTGTTTATCCTGCCTGCAACATCCTTCTCCAGGTGTATCTGCTGTGGACCCTGGGTTTGGAACCCCAGAACATGCCTGTTAGTGTACTTAATACACTTTGTTATTGACTAACTGAAACATTTAATCACTTTCCCCATATTGAATGTGGCTACATTTCCTTTAATAGAAGTCAATAAATATCCACATATTCTAAAGTTTGTACCAAAATAGAAAATACTGGGAAACATTCATGTGATGTATTCAACTCTCAAAAAGCAGTCATTTCTTTACAGTTGGCAGTTTTAACCCTGTCACTTGTTCACTTGAAAAACCATGCATTTGATCTCCTGATCTCCGCAAGGACCTCCTGTGCCTTCCCCACGTAGACGTCGATCCTGATCCTCTCTGACCTGAAGACTGGGGGGTAGAGATGAGCGAGGAGGAGGAGAGATGTGGAAGTAATAGGGAGAAGATAGGCTAGAAGGTACTAGGAGACAATGGATTTGTAATATGACCTCAAACAAAGATATAGGTTAGAGAATATGACCCAGACTTTATTTCTTAAAAGGGATTTTGTAATATAAGCATTATTTAAAATACAAATGGAATCCAAGAGTGATTTTAACATTTGATTCGTGGCCACTAAAGCTGGAAAACAATATTCAACAGTTTAAAATAATTAGAAAGTCAAGTGGTTTTACTAGAAAATGAATATTCCTTGGCCCATAACTTGCTTGCAGAGTACATTAACCTTTATTAGGGACTCAATTCCATTCCCTTTTAATGTGATCTGCTAAAGAAATTTTAGAACTCTCTATAGAAATAAAATTTATTTTTCAAAAAGATACCAGTTAATTTGTAAATTCAGAACTATAATATAGACAGCAAATATAAAGTCTTAAATTAAGTTGTTAGTTGCTTATCCATTGTTGATGTCTAACTGTTATATTTGGGAGATATTCCAGGATGTTTGTTATGTTAAGTTTTGAAGGCCTGTGTAGTCTTTAACTTGATCTCTAAAAAAAACAGAATTTAAGTGAATGTCAATAAAAGCAGTGAATTATAAATATTCTCTCTTGCAGCATATTTGACCAGAGCTGTCGATAAACAAAATCGTATTTCCTAGGATTTCAGGCATGAATACTAATCTATACATGTTAATTTAGTGCTCTACCAGAGAATATAAACAATTTAGACATCTGTTGAGTAAAACTGGACACATGAACATTTCAATAAATGAAATAAAATTTGTATCTGTCTTAAAATATTGTTTCTATATATAGCTAGTATGATTTTTTTTTACACAAAAATCCAAGTGATCTGAATTAAGTACTAAGTACAGCAGTATTTGACCCAATTAATTCTTGCCACATGATACATATGTTTCTACTACTTTTCCCCAAACAACCTAAAACCACTAACCTAAATAAGTGGTCGGGTTTCATCCAACACTGTGCAGCTGCTGTCCAGTCTCTGGTGGCCTGATGATAAAGACTAAGCTACAAGCAAAAGCAGAAACTCTGTGGTGAGAAGAGCTCTCTTTATATTGCCCCCCAACCCGAATTATATACGGAAGTTTAGAGGAGTGTAGCCCCTAAACTGGTCTCTCTAAGCTGACACCACTGACCCACGAGCTGGGGTGTCCATCCAGATGGGAAGAGGTGTGAGGGTGGACAAAAGGGAAATGTGTCTCTGAGGTTTTTAATTTCAGGTGCAGGGGGAAGAGATGGGCTGTCAACTCTCTTAAGTGAGCAATGTTAGAGAGGACTTTATCTCATTAAAAGGCCGGAGGGGAAACAGTCATACAAAGAAGCAACAACAGAAACCCAAGTCCCACCTCGTGGCTGGGCTTCAGAACAGGGACAGAGTAGAATCCCACTGTCAGGGAACAAGGTTCTACTCTTTCAACATTCTAGAACCAAGCCTTCAGATATCCAGTGCCTCTGTGGTCACTCCCAACAGGAGTATGCATTTGCAAAAGCAAGTCTGTAACTTGCACAGAGGAGTACGAAGCAATGGAGTACTTTTGTTGAAAGCAACATTTATTTTTCACAAAGATAAGAGGCATATTACATTTGCTATGAGGGGGAAAAGCTGCATGTTACCGATATGACAAAAACAAAAATTCTACTTTTGAAAGTGTTTTGCCCTATAAGAACATATTGAATGAAAGGCATAATTTCAGGTGGATTTATTAGGGTTTGTATTGAAATGCAGTTTGTACGGTGAATGTTTGATTCTTTTCATGGGAATAAAACAGATTTATTGGAAGTGTGATAGATAGCAGATAACCAAAGGAGAAGTTTTAATAAAACAGGAAGGAAAGAAAAAAAGAAAAGTGAGTGAATATGCCTTCTTACATTTCAGCGAATAAATTAAAAGCACAGATAGGGCTTTAACTGAAAACCATGCTGGTTATTGCTGCCTGGAAGGTTTATTGAAAATTGGGTAGAACACTCTCATTTTTCCTCCTTACAGACACGGTGTAAGCCCAACAGGTTAACATGTGGCAACGCATTTTGATGTGGGTACAGGAATCCGATGTTTTCATAGGAAACTTGCAAATGGTCATGAAGGGGAATGTCTGTCTTAGCTTTTGCTGACTCTGGGATTCTGGACAACTGAACAATCTTTATTTAATTTTACTGCTCACCTCTGGACACAGTTTGAAAATATATCCTCAATAAGCATTGACCTTTCTTCTCAAAGAGCTGAGAAGAAATGAGCTCAGGATAGTGGAGAATTTGGTCCTGAGAGCACCATGCTTAGAATTCCAAGTACATTGTGGCCACTCATCTGGCACAGGGGCTTAACAAGCACCTGTCACACACCCCTCACGCAGACTGGTTTTAGTCAGTAGGGGCCTGGACTCAGGAAAGAAACCAGCTCTCCTTTCTTCATTCAAAGCAGCAAGAAAAAGGTAGTTCTCTGTGAGCAGCCCCGAGCTATCTCGATTCCGGTGTTGCTCTCTTCAGAGCCTTGCTTCGGAGAATGATGGATCACTTTTCACTCCTGGAGTCAGTCCCCTTGCGAGCAGACAGTAAGGAGCCAGAGAAGAAAAATTACTGTAAACACCAGTGGTAACCACAGGTGCAAAAACCGTTTCCTAGTGGCAGAGCGGGGCCAGGGTCATGCTCCCACAATTGCAGTGGGCTCCTTAGGACGGGGTCCCTGGGGTTGGAAAAGAACCTCAGGCCCCAGATCTGATTCACTGAGTTCAGAAACAGGGCTCAGAGATGGTGCGTGAGAACATAATTAGAAATTTACATCCATAAATTTGGGTTGTTTTAATACACAAAAGCTTTTAGGCTCTAAACCTGTCTCCAGGATGGCTTGTCAAATATAAAATGCCTTGTAAATCCATGTCTGTATATCAAAGAGACAGGAAGACAATAGCAAAATACATAAAATTAATTAGCATAGTTTGGAGAGTTTGAATCCATTATTAAATATGGATCCTATCAAGTATTCCATCCAATTTCCAGTTAGGTTAATACTTCAATGCCTAATGTTTTTACTTTCGCCTACCAAGTCTCTCAATGGACAGTATTCGGAAAGGCTCATGTAGAGACCCACGCCACTCTCCAAAAAAGTTACTTCTGTGGAGGGGTTTTTGGAAAGAAACAATGAAAATTTCTTGTACAGTTTATAAATGGTCTATTGTAGGATTATAATAATAGACCTTTTGAGAATTTCTTTTTAGGCTGGTGTTAAATGAATTACATGCCTCAGCAAGATGCACAGAAAGATGACTTCATGGCCGCGCTCCTGTATTGATTACTGTGGCATGCACTTGGAGCAGGTGTTTCCTGTCTGCATAGGCACGTCGTGTATCTCACAGGGAAAATGGTTTGGTTTGTGCCTTTTCCCCAGAAGCCTCATTTTTCCTTTCTTAGTATTAAGATGTATATATAAGAAAAGCTCAGCTATTGGTTTTTAATATAAAATCTTGCACTTCTTTAAAGAGCAAGATCCAAAATTGTTCTGTGATTCAAAATTTAAAAATAAATTAATCTTCCAAATATTCCCAAGACATGTTTCACGTATTTAATATGTCACTTATTTTGTCAAAAGATTTTAAGGCTCTAAATGACTCACCTTATGTAAGTTCTGGTGTACCTGGTTACCTGGTTATATATACTGAATGAACCATATGGCCTATGTACATGTAGACATGGATATACCCGCAGACACTATTAGTAAATGCAATCCTATATTCTTGGATATAGAGGTTGATGATACACCTTTCTACTTGCCACGGCACTAACAAAGCGAGGCTGAAACTCAGCAACCACTTGTATTCATTGCTTTGCAGGCGAGCAGTAAGTTCGGTTGCTGGTGGGAAAAGGATCTCCTTAAACTAAAGGATCTTTCATGCTTAATGAACGTGCACATTCTTTTATCGAGGTGGCCTGGAGCTGCAGATGCAATCGCACCGCTCGTGGTGATCCAGCTGGATGTCGACGATGGCCATGTACTTCGATCTGCCCCTCCTCCTGAAATGGCCAGGCTCGAGCTTCAACACCTAGGACAGTAAGCATATTCCCTGTTAGAAAGCCCTTACAGTGCAACTCAGTAGGCACCGCTCATTCTCTGGGACAGCTGGCTCTTAATGCTTTAAGAATTCACACATGTAAATATTTTTACAATCATCAACTCCTTGAAGTGGAGGGGTCAACTGATCACAGGGCACCACCTCCCGCATTGCTTGCTTGCGGTACCGAGATGACCGCAGGTGGCCCGGCGGATATTTATTGGTAGCTTTCTAAGGACCCACTTTGTCTCAGGTACTGTCCTAAACATTGTCATAATGATTCTTCTGCCAAAGCATATGTTATGGATAAATAACACTGAGCACATTATTATTTCCGTAGACAGCACAATGAATAAAGTCATGAACGTAATATACCAGTATGGCTAAATTTTTGATTGATGTAAAACATTTTGCCCTAATGAAGGTCATTAGCAGCCAGCCATAAATAAATGAAAATGTGTTCATGTTCTTACATATATGTTACCTTTTATAATACAAAACAAATCAGGTTCCACTAACATTTTTTTACATTGATATTTATGTATCAATACAGCATTTCTTAAATTAATAAAGTATATGCTCATTTTTTAAAATTAGTAAGTTTAAAAATATTTTTTAATTAATATGTTTAAAAAATTTTTTTAATTAGTATGTTTAAATAGAAGCTAACTCTTCTTCCCTGCTGTGGCCTTCGTTGAAGTCAAACAGTAGTCACATCACACACACTTGGAAAGTTGTACACTTGCTCTTATATACACAATGTGGTCACTTTAATGGCTCCTCTTTGTGTCCTCAGTTTTGGTTAGCCTTCACTCCTAGACTCGAAACTCTGTCGTCGTCCCACCATTTACTTAGGTGACATCTTACAGTTTTCAAAGAATGTGCACAGATGCACTATTTCTTTTTCCTCGGATGAATCTCCTCACACACTGGAGGAGGTACCCTCATTCCCATTCATAAATTAGTGCACGGAGACTGTAAAGAAGGCTAAGGGTCTTCTGGGGCTTGGGCGTGGGAGCAGGGCTCTCTCCCCAGGCCCCCAGCCCACTCTGACCCCAGCCTCTCCCATGTGCCTGGTTTCCTTTTCTGACTCCTCAGGTAGACCAGACCCATCTGTGTCATAAATGACACCATTATAAGCAACTTTGGAAATACTAAATTATTTTGACTTTGTTGCAACATTATTTGGTACTATTAGTCCTTTATTCATTTTGTTCATAGATAAGAAGAGAGAGAGATGAAATGACTTGCCCAAAGTCACAGAGCTAGTAATAGGTAGAGCCTGAATCTGACTTCATGCAGGCTAGCTCATGCGCTTACCTATGAAACTTTGTGGAGCTCGGCAGCATGCTGGCAACACAGTGGCTGCTAAAGAAACCTCCTGGGTGAAGATGGTGAAAACTGCCTCAATGCAGGAGGAGTGCATGTGCACGATCTTCCTTTTACCTCCTCCCTGCATCCCCTGGTCTACCCCCCCAAACACAGGGGCAAAGCAAACAAGCCAGGAAATAGAGCTGAGGCCAAAAAGTGGCCCATGCTTTGGACTACTTTTAATCCTTTCATATTTTTGAAATAAAAATTTAAAGTACTGAGAGCAGCCCTGGATAGTGTTGCTCAGTGGTCAGAGCACCAGCCTGTGCATGGAAGGGTCACGGGTTTGATTCCAGGTCAAGGGCATGGAAGGGCTGCAGGTTCGATCTCAGTCTTGGTTGAGGGGTGTGCAGGAGACAACCAATCGACGTGTCTCTCCCACACTGATATTTCTCTCTGTCTCTCTTTCTCCCTCCCCCTGCCCCCGCCCTCCTTTCCACTCTCTCTAAAAATCAATGGAAAAATATCCTTGGGTAAGGATTAACAACAACAACAACAACAACAACAATAACAAGGTACTGAGAGCAGAGTTACATTGACATTTGCCCATTGTTCCCATGTTCTCTCCTATTGGGTAAGTATAGAAAAGAAAAGATGTTGCTTTTCTGTGGAAAAATAAGCAAAAGAAGCCATGGTTGAAGAATGTATTACTTACCTTCCGAGGTATTCAACAGCCCTGCCCGTGACAGATAGGAAAGCCATACTGTGCCCTATTTGGTCAGAGTTCCTAACAAGGGGTTCGAGGCTGGGGTCCTACAGCTTTGCCAACATGAACTGGCTGCTGCTGTCCAAGACTGTCTGCATGGAAACCAGATTTGGGAGCTGGAAGATGCAGGGGAGATCAATGATTTCTAAGAAGATGAGCATATGATAAATATTCTCTGTTTAAAGAAGGCCATCGGGAAAGCCAAGGATACGTTGTAATGAGCGGCGCCGGTAAAACCAGCGCTCTGGTGATTTGCTTTTTCATTTGATGGCAAACAAAAGAGTGTGCTTTGGGACGAAGCAGAGCCTGGGCAGTTTTTCTAGCGCCTTTCCTGACTGCTCGGGGACTTTCCCTGTGTTTTATATTAAGCAATGTGAGCACAGAGTATATGTGTTTTGCTGATAAGAAGAGAAAAATGAATTGGCAGACACTTTCCCAGACAAGACAGGAAGGCGCTGTTTGAACAAAGTGGAGATTGGACTGCTTTGCTGGCTGAGCCCAGCACTGACGTCCAGAGCTTTCAGACCATATAATAGTCTTAAGTTCAGGTACACAGCACTGAGAGGAGGAAGAGCGCAAAGCTGATCTGAGAGACGGCGGAAAGTTAAAGGAAAAATGAAAAGCCTTTATCTGAGAAAGCACACTGGCGAGTTACAGGTTATCTGGCCACCGTTAAAGGGAAGGAACCATTGAATTAATTACAGCCACTGTTGGACACTTGCTAATAGGAACCATCACAAAATGATTTCCTATTTACTGAGTGATGACTCACCGCTGCAAGCACACACTGAAATACAAATTCACTGACGAGCAGCCGGCCATGTCTTATCACCTAGGGTGGAAAGAGGGCTCTCAGCCTCTTCGCCTCCTGGAGGACCCCGGGCAGCCAGGGACACCTAACTTTTACCACAGGGAGAATGACGGGGCCGGGTGGCAGTTTTCATACCACTACACAAAGCCAAAAACGCTCCGTTTGCAAATCACCATATCGCAGAAATATTTAACCACAGTTCCAATAAACCACCGAATGAGTCACGGCCATAAAGCTATTGCACTAATAAAACAATACCAGGCAGAAAAGCTGTCTGCTAAGTTGGGTTTTTGTTTATTGGGAACATTAAAAAAAAAGGTTGTTAAGGCCTTGTAACAGTTCTCAAATCAATGGCTGACACAGGAAGACAAGTACATATTTCAAGACAAATGCAATGTATAAACCTGAATCATTAGGAGTTTATTTCAAATTCTACCCAACTGCTAAAGCAATCACCGCTCAGTACACATACGGTTTCTCTTCTTAAGAAATAAAGAAACCACTTCACATTTTTGTTTCCATTCTGACTTCATTCATGCTTACAGACTATACAAAAATGTGCAGAGAGTTATCACTTTAAGGGCTGGTAGTCAACTTTTCTGAAATCTAAGTGACTACTTTGACAAGGGGTAACATTATTTTCTACCAGGGTAACGGCTCCACTCACAGGCAAGTTACCAGCAGAGGTGAACTTGTAGTGGAAAAACCGATAATATATCACAAAACACATCATTCAATAAAAAAGACACAAGTGACAAAAAGTTCAACAACGTTTTGTTGACTAAGTGTGAGGTAACCAAAGGCTGAGGTTACAGTGAGGGCCTATAAATCTCTCATAAAATTTAAAAATGCAATCTTGACATCTGTAGACATTTACTTTGAACAGAGGTTTCCGGGAGCACCCTGGGATCACTATCGGTGTACTTAGGGGTAGTCCCCACCTTTACAAAACTCAGTAGTCAAGCGATTTCGACAGTGCTTTAGAGAATTGTGTCTACATGTTCAGCCTGCCCACTGCAGAAAAGACGACGGAAGCCTAGCTGGGCACCAGGTTTCGAGCCTGGCATTGGCACTGAGAATCATTCATGACACAGACAGGTCTCGGCCACCTGAGGAGTTCCATGGCCCAAGAAGGGTCGCTAACTTTTGGCTGGAAGGCCTGATGGGAAGCTGGATCTGGACAGGAGAGAACGTGCACCTTTCGTAGGACTTCTGAGTGGTCCATTCACTCAGTAGGTGAGTTGTCAGGGCTCCGAGCTGAGGAAGCCAGACAGACTCTCAGAAAATTCCACTCACATCTGTTTTGTGCTTTATAGTCTTGAGATGCTTTTGTTCACTCAGCATCCCCAGGAGGTCAGCAGCACAGGTGTTATTATGATGAGTGAATTAACTTTTCTATACACATTAACTGCTCCAGCTCATATCTGTATTCTTTTGCATTAACTTAGCACTTCAACCAGCAATTTGTTTATATTCCTTACACAATTTCAGTAAGATGAGCTTTGGGGGCTAGAAAAGAGTGTAACAGTTAATGGATATCATGTATTTCAGGTCCGTCTGGGAACTTGGCATTGTAGGTTCTCAGGGCGGAAGCTGAGGCCCTGGGAGGTCTCACTTGCCTGGCCCTAGGCTGCCTCCCTGCAGCAGAGCTGGGACCGGAATCCATGGCCCTCTCATCTGTTCACACGGTTGTCTGGCCCTACTGCCCTGCCTCTCCCAGGAAGCACAGAAACAGCCTGAAAGAGCCATCTCAGCTTTCAGTCAAAGAGGAAGAAAAGGAAAGTATCAGGGGACTATACATAAACTTAGAAATGATAGTTCCGGAAAAAGAATGGAAGAGATTTACTAGACTTTTGTTATCAGTTATATCAAAACCCCAAATCTCTCTGCCTTAACCATAGAGTAGAAACTCTGAAAAAATGCTTTTCTGTCTTCTCGGTTTTAATTTACAATTTTAGCTAAATTTGTTTCAATAACAGATACTTAAAGCATGTAAAACCGGAAAGTATTCTTCTTTTAGCTCAAGTCTGAAGCTCAACATGTTATTACCTCTGATATTTTGATTCCTATATAAATATCTGTCTGTATCTCCAACTCAAACTGTAATAGCGATTTTTGATATCAAATTCTACATTAAAATACAAAAAGTCCTGTAAAGTCATTTTTAGTTGTGTGCAGAGACAAGAATGATTCTGGAAGATGTATATGTCAGAAACAGGCTTGTGTGTTCACTGTAGTTGCTGTTAGCCATTACATGAAAGTTAGTTAAAGGTAAATACAATGAAAATGAGGCTGCTTCTGTGCCTCACGCAAATATCAGGTGCCCTAGAACCACTCGTGATGAGCACGCTGGACAGTGCGGAGGAGAACAGCCCCATCACCACAGAATGTTCTACTAGTGTAGGGGTCATATCAGCTCTGTGACAAAATCTGAGAGAAAGGGCAAAGAAAATTAATTTTTATCTTTCTCTCTCTGCTGCTTCCTAAGTTTTTATTTATTTATATATTTATTTATTTATTCCTCACCCGAGGACGTTTTTCCATTTTTTGTTCAGATAGAGTGGGAGGGGGAGAGAGAAAGAGAGAAACATCGACGTGAAAGGGACACATTGAGTGGCTGCCACCTGCGCGATCCATCGAGTGCCAGGGACAAACTGCAACTGAGATACGCACCCTTAGTGGGAACCGAACCCGGGTCTCTCTGGACCACAGGCCGACGCTCCAACCGCCGAGCCAAACCGGCCAGGGTGCTTCCTAAGTTTTTATTGGTTGACTGAATGGACACAGAAGACCAAATGATGATAAACAGTAAATACTAAAAAAAGGTCACCGTATTTCTAGGGAATCTCCTACTCCTTCACTCTGCATTTTCAAGGGAAGATGAGAACTGATATATAGTATCCGCTGTCTACATAACATATGTTCTGGAACCTTCCTTACCTAAAAGGCACTACCTAAGGTATCTTTTTAAAAGAAATGTTTTTAATGACTTTTGAGAGACAGAGAGAGAAACATCGTGTGAGAGAGAAACATGGATCAGCTGCCTCCTGCACACCCCCTAGTGGGAATTGAGCCTGCAACCTGGGAATCGAACGGGGACCTCGCAGTCCATGGGACAACGCTCAATCCACTGAGCTACCCTAGCAGGGCTAAGGTATCTTTTTTATCCTATATATTCTAAGATGCATAACATAGTTGTTAGGGAAAAGAAAAAATAATAGGAGACCTACAAACTTTTGAGAACAAAAAGTAATAAAAATGCCAACATTGTACTGCACAGTGAAGAAGGCTAAAACCCCTACAGGAGAAATGCATAACCTGTGAACAAAGCAATGAGATTAGCTTCATTAGGAGCTTTATAATTTCTCAGTTTTATTCCTTAAACGCTGAGCACTGAAGTATTTGTGGAGAGTCACACTGGCCTGCTTAGGTGATGAGTTCCAGTCACCCTGAAGGGGCTCATCTCTCACAGACTCATTTCCCATCTCATCAATTATAACCAGGGGCTGAGGAACCTGGGCTTTCATTTCTGAGTCAAGAGTACAGACACAGAACCAATAGAACAAAGGGTGAGGATTTGCCCCTAATGAGCCTAGCCCCAGCGACCCCCACTTCTGGAAATGGAACAAGACTTTGCTCCTTCCTGCGGGCGCTGGGCAGGGATCGCTGTGACATATCCCAGGGTATTTTAGGGGTTCAGGGGAAACGGCCGGAGCTTTGTGTGGTGGCTGACTGAGTGATTGATGCTCTTGTCCCTTCCTTCGGCGCTTGGCAGGGTGATTTTGTACAGAGCTCTGCAGACTCCTAGAAGTGAAAATATTATGACACATTTCGAAGAGATGCTTCAGACAGCAGTTTCAAAGATGCCAAGATTTTTGACCTGTGTGTGTGACTGAACAGGCATCAAGGGCTTCCCCTTCTAGATATTAATTGTTTACAGGAATTTACAGGTAACAGCTATCGTGGACAGAAACAAGAAAGGAACTAAGAAAAGGACCCCATCAGGGAGGCGAGAGTCCTGTTGCGCGTACCTTTAACTCCCCAAGCCCAGCCGCACCTTGTGTCTGAGCGGAGACAAGATGGGAACCCCGCACGCTCCAAAACGTCAGAGGCTTTGCCTCCGTCACGCTGAGGCAGGGACCTTGTCACGCCCTAGATTATGTTAACTCTAACCTGATCACTGCATTCTGCACTCATCTTTCAGTTTTAACTAAACGTCCAAAATTCAGGTTCTTGACCTCAAGAACACTGTCCAATCTGAAGTTCATCAGGTCGTACAAAAATAAAACACAATGAACACAGACGACAGCATTCTCTGGATGTGAGGGCTTGTTTTTCCCTTTGACAACTGTGGGGTGGTGTAAGAAATTCTGTGACCAAAGGAGTGTGTTCTAAGAAGGTCTGCAGAAGGTGCCTTCCCGTCGGAGGTGGGCATGCTCAGGCCACGACTTCCTGCCTTTCCCAGCGGAAAACACCACTTATGACCTAGCCAAGAAATTCAACTCGGGAGTTAGCTCCTAACGTATTATTACTGTTTTATTGTTTTCAGGATAACAAGGCGGATTACAAGGCTGGAGGTTTTATTTAGGGAGCAGCACCTATTGTTTTGTTTTGGTGGATACGGGTAAAAACCAACCCAAACAGTACTTCCTAGCAATACTGTTCGCTTCACATTTCAGTTTATATTTTTAAACACATTTCTGTTTGATGCTTCACATTTTAAAAAACACATTTCATATGCAGTATATTATTTGATCCCCAGAACCACGCTGTAAGGGATTATCCGATATATTTCCTTAGTCCCATTTCACACATGTGAAAACTGAGTCTCTAAACTTGAGCGACTTATACATGCTCCCATAGCAGGGCAGTAACAAAGCTGCTGTCAACGTCAGGAGCCACTCGAATTCCCCCAAGTCTACTCTTTAATGCTCAATAAAATGCTATATATTTTATTTTATTTAAAAAAAATTTTTTTCAGTTTTATTGAGATATAATTGACAGCATATAAGTTTAAAGTGTACAGTAAAGTGGTTTGACTTATATATGTCATGAAATCATTACCATGATAAGTTTAGGTAACATTCATCCTCTCATGCAGATACAAAAAAGGTAAACAATTTTTTCAGATTTGCTCTCTTAACAACTTTCATATATACCATACAGCAATGACAACTGTAGTCATCATGTTGTACATTATTATACCCCTAGAACTTAATCTTATAACTGGAAGTTTGTACCTTTTTGTTTTTTTATAGTTTTTTCTTTTATTTATTTTTTCTTTTTTTAATCCTAACCTGGGGATATATATATATATTTTTACATTTATCTTTAGACAGAGTGGGAGGGAAGGAGGGGGAGAGGGGGAGAGAGAGAGAGAGAGAGAGAGAGAGAGAGAGAGAGAGAGAGATGAGAGAGATACATCGACTGGTTACCACCTGCATGACCCCAACCAGGGCCAGGGACGAACCACAACCAAGGTACGTGCCCTTGGCTGGAATTGAACCTGGGACTCTTTGGTCCACAGGCCAATGCTCTAACCACTGAGAAAACTGGCCAGGGCAGTTTTTTCTTTTATTAATTTATTTTTGTTACAGATGTTTCTTCTTTTTCCCCATTGACACCCTCCTCCCGATCCCACCCCACCCCCAGCACCCCCAGCATTGTCTATGTCCATTGGTTACACATACATGAATATAAGTTCTTTGGTTTATCTCTTCCTTCCCTCCCCCCTCCTGCTCTTCTGATGTTTCTCAGCCTGTGTACTTTAAAAGAGAGAGCACAGTGTTACTATTAATAAGAACCGATTCTGGAACCAGTTGATCAGAGTGTAGGTCTGGGCTCTGTGATTTATCAACCATGTAGCACTGGTCAACTTACTGGTCTTCTTAGGCCTCAGTTTACTTTCCTATAAAAAGATAATAAAAATAGCATTTCCCCCTCCCCACCTTTACAGCGGTGTTGAGAAACTGCTAAGTGAGTTAATGACTACTTATAATAATATCTGGCACATACTAAATTCTCAGGAGTGTTTGTTACTATAATTATTATTAAAGGTTACTGCTCTCTCAAATTTTTGTTCTTCATATGTCTTTTATTATTTGTATTTATTTTTTCATAATTTCAGAGCTGGTTCCCTAGGTAGCAGTCAGTAGTATTTAGGAAAAAATTGGTATTTCTAAAGGAAAAATACTTTTATGTTTACAGAATGAGAAATTTTCTGACAATGCATATTTTCTGACAAATCTTTTGCTATCTTTACACTGTTTGATTTTAATGACTTAATTGAATTAAAGTTTGGCTCTTAGCATCTTCTGAAGGGAACCTGGATTTTGCAGTCAGACTCTGTAAATAAATACCACCACATTTCCACAAGGAGGCAAGTAAGCTCCGAAATTACGCCACCGTCCATTTGCTCATACACTTATTCTAACAAGGCTGTTGTCAACCTACCGGGTATATTAGGAGGGTTAGAAAAGGGAGTCCCTTCTTCAGGACGAACTTAGATCCCCCCAGGGCATTTAGCGCGACACAGTCAGCACAAGTATGATTTCAGCTCCCAGTCATCCCCCTGGCTGGGTGCCCCTGGGCAGTGAACGACCTGAAGACTGTGAGCAGTGGTCCTGCCGTCCAGCACCCAGATTCCTGCCTTTGCAGCGGAGACCGCCACCTGAGGCACCACAGCGGAGACACTGGAGAGCGACATACCTCGTGGTACTTTTTCACAGTCTTCCCCGAACTGCACCTGCAGGACTTCCAGCCGGCGCTGCCGCAGCCACAGTTCCCCCCGCAGCGCTGCACCAGGAGGCAGCGGGGGAAGAAGACCACGCTGCTCAGCTTCAGCTCCTCTCTCACGTTCACCGAGTAGTTCCTGGGCGTGCAGCTGTACCGCTTGACATCGTCGTTGAGCCTGTCCAGGTCAACTGTAAGAAACACACTGCGTGAGCCGCGCTCCTGGAGGCACACCTCCGCACGTGTGGTGGGAGGGCGGGAGATGCTGTGAGGACGGCCTGACCCAGGCGCTGAACATGTCCTTGGGCCTCAGTTACTACTCCAAACCCAGGGGTGAAAGTCTAAATTTTCTTTGGATCCTCTCTGCCCTTCTAAAAAAAAAAAAAAAAAAAGCAACAACAAATAAATACAAAAAAACTCAAAAACTTGGCTAAATCTCTATGTTGGCTCAAATTTTCTTGTATCATTTTTTTAATACAAAAAAAAAAAAAAAATAGTGTCCTGAGGGGGGAAAAATAATCAGAAATTTAAAATAATTGCCTTTATCTCCTTGATTCTAAATAAATCCTGACTCTAAGCTATTACTTAAATATAATTTGAATTATATCAGGCACACATTAGGAGGACCATCATTCTAAAATATTTAATTGGCAATGAAATTTTACAAGTAAATATGAGAAAGAAAAAGGTTTTAGCTGATTTCAAATCACAGGTTAACCAAATCGTCAGAAGAAATGGTATTTTCTCGGTTGTGAATATGATGATATTGGTGCACTGGGTCCAGAGAGCAGGATGACTTAGTGGTTAGATTCTTGGGCTCCGTGGTAAAGTGGCCGCTGCCTTCATATCATGGCTGCACCTCCTTTTAGTTAGAAAGTTACTTAACTGCTCTGAACGACTGCTTCTGCATCTATAAAATGCAAATAGTATACCTATTTCGCAGCAGTATTTGAAGGATTGAATCTAGTGTGCATGGCTGTTTATTATTATTCCTTTCGGTTTCTCCTGCATATTTTCCTTTTAAAGTCAGGTGATCAAAACTTACAATGAAAAAATTCAGGCCTTTCTTTTCTATTTCTTTCTTTTGGCCTTTACTCCACATACATGATTGCCCAAGGGGACGGCTACTGGGCTTCTGTGAACAGGAGCACCACCCTACCTTCTCATGCTTCAGTCACAAACATGTATAAGAATTACATTTGTATTATTATATTATATCAAATACATTTTAATTAGTGGTCTCAAAATCCATCTAATCATCCACTTGACATCCGGATCCTCCGAGCGGTGAGCACATTCATGACTTTGTTCTCAGAAGAAAGTGCCTTGTCCACACAGGTCCCACCCCCTTTGCTAGTGCATCTCCCCTGCCACCAGAGAGGCCGCCACAGGAGTCATCAGGCTGACTCTGGACTCTAGCCCCAAGTCCTAGTCCTCAACCAAAACCGCTTGACGGGCAGTAAAGAGAGCTCTTTTGGGGTGGAGGTCAAAGGCTAAGGATGCTGTCAGTAAAATCCATCTGAGGGAAACCAAAACAAGGCACTAGTGGGTGAAGAGTCCTCTTAACCCCATGAAATCAGCTGAAAGACTGGCCAGATGGCTGCATGACCCCTTGAATAAAGAATTAAATGGTTCTTGGATTGGTGCCCTGGCCCGAGTGCCTTTCATATGTGCAACTACGCCCTGGTTCTCAAGGGCAGGGGCTATTCCCCAGGGTTATATGCTCAGCTCAGGACATGGTGGGGACTGAATAAGTGCTAAATAATTGCTGTGCATAATTTACTGCTGTTTTTTTTTTTTTTTTTCTGTTTCCTTTGTAAAGACGTCCTAAGTTTAGCTATAATCAATCCAGATTTAAATTGAATGAACTGTGTCTTGGGAAAGGAACCATTTTTATCTGCTAAAGCCTTGCAAATAACTGCAAGCAAAGCAGGCAGGATTACATAAATGGATTAAGAAGTGCAGCAATCATCCATTACAAGTGTCACCCTGAGATAAACGCTGATGCTGGCCTGTGCATCACCGGGCCTGTGGACAGGGCTGATGCAGAGGCCAAATCTGCCGCTTGTGATAATGGGACGATATTTCATCTAGCATAGCAGAGTAAAGAGGTGCAATTAGCAAGAAGGGGGTGTGACGTGCGGGGAGGCAGAGAGGAGTAGGCGGGAGTATCGATTCTCCCTACTTCCGCCCTCCGGTAGGCACCTGTGACTCCTTTTCCTTGTTCCTGACCCAAAGTGAAAGGTAAGTGGGAAAACTGGAATCAAAACCCTTTCCCCTTTTGCTCCGTAATCTTTGTTATAACAAGTAGAATTGTAGGCACCCAGCAGCTGAAGGAAGGGCACCCCATCTCGTGCTGTATCAAGCTCTTTTGTAGGCCGTTGGACTAGGACTGGGGTGCTGAATGGCTATATCCTTATCTCCAGAATGTATCCAAGCCAAATTACAGTATGTGTCCCCTATAGGAATGTAGCCAAACCCCAAAGTGCCCTCAACAAACCAGAATAAGGTATGTATGTCTTACCTGTCTTAAAACACAGCTCTGCACATTGTTCCAGTTTACTGACTAGCACCGGTTCCTTGCGTTTCCCACCCGCTGCGGACAGATTTCCCAGGCTGTCAGTCTCGTGCATCAACTCCCTGATGTGACTAAGAACCGAGGCCAGTGTGACTGCTGTAGAATCCAGCTGCCCTGCTTATCAGGGGATGGAAACCACCGAGGCACTCAATTTAGAACTAGAACTAAAAGGTTCTTCGGACTGGATGCAAATAACTTCAAAGCAAGATTGCAGCCGCTCAGCAGGGGTATTGAGTTTCCAGTCAAGGAGACTGATTAGCAGGCAGCAGAGCAGGAAGCCAGACCCCGGCTGGGCTGAGCGGCTATGCACTGAAGCTCTGGTGGCACTTCGTGGGAAGGGGACTCTGTGAGCCTGCTGGGAAGGAGGAAGCCAAGAGGTACAAACCCAGGGAGAAGGGCTGCCTTTCCCTGTCCTGCTTCAGTCTCCATGGCAGAACATTATAAGGATGTTCCAGATTTAATTCAAGGGCCCATTAATTTTATGTAATTTCCCCAGTTCATCCAGGGGTGCATCATGTTATAATTCCTCTTTTGCTGTTCTTTTGAATTGGAGTCTTCTTGCCTTTTCACGGCTCTTTAGTGTCAGTTAAGCTTGGGGGCTATGCACTGAGGTTGGCAAGGCTGAGGTGGTGTCACCGTCTCCAAAGCTTCCTCTGGACACGTTGATCCAATGTGGGCCCCGCACAGCGCGTGGGAGCACCCTTCTATTTGCAGCGGGCCTCGCACCGCCCAGTCACAGACGTCTCCTGGGCTGTGATAAGGGCTCTGAGCCCCGGGGTGGGAATGTGGGAGGCAATGGTGTATTGGAGAAGGCACACCCTTGTTCAGTTTCTAATCTGTTAAGGCTTAGGTGTGGGAGAAAGGAGAGTCAGATCCTGGCCACCTATATTCCTAAGTACCAGGAAACATGAAAAGTTCTGCTCATGTATGATTGCATGAAAGCCCCATAAATGCAATGAATTACATACCACTATTGCCCTTATTTTTCTAGTTGAGGGAAGGTTGAGAACAAAAGTTGTCCAAAACCACACAATCAGTAGGTGGTAGGGCCAGAGTTTGATCCCAGGCTTTTTCATGCCTCTTGTACTTACGAGCCCCAGTCTGAAGATCTGAAGGAGGGTGCAAAGAGCACCTCCCATGAGCCATGTTGGGGCCACCCCTGGAGGCCACTGCTGTCCGAATACCTGGCTGCTTAGGTGAGCTGATAGGCACTCACCTGTCATTTTCAAGATGCTGTCCACTACATATATCCAGGCACGTGCTCCTGTGCACGCACATCTATTGAATTCTACTGGAAGTGAGTGAACCATGTTCTGACTAATAAACCAGGCAAATGTAAGAGAGCATGTTGTTTTCTTTTATATTGAGCAATATAATGTATTTCATCTTTTTCACCTGAACTCAAGAGACCTTTGTCTATTCATGATCTTCATTTTGTTTTATCATCTTCTTTATTTAGATGTGTCTGTTCCACTAAACTGTAAGGTTCTAGGAAGCAAAGAGTTAACCATCTTTTTGCCCCTCTTCCAGTGCTCTGCCTGCTGGAAGGACCAATGTAGGCCATTTAAGGCCACCTCTTCTAAAAACCACTTGGTCTCAACGATGAGAAGCAGGGGACTGGTGAATGAAACAGTCTTTGTAGTCTACCCACATGGGCCATTTTAGAATATTTGATACAATCAATGAAATCCAGTGTAGAAAACTGAAGTCATTATGTACCTGTAAGACAAGTGTTTCTGATTTTCTTTAAATGCCTATCTTTTGTGACTCTGAACGAAAACCCAGAAACTTAAAATCAAGATTAGAGAGCCATGGGCAGGAGGCCCAGTTAGTTGGAGTGTCATCTCATACAGCAAAAGGTTGCGGGTTTGATCCCCAGTCAGGGCACATACGAAGACAACAGATCAATATTTTTCTCTCACATTGATGTTTCTGACTCTTTCCCTTCCTCTCTTTCTGAAAATAACTGCAAAAAACAAACACATATCCTTGGATGAGGATAAAAAAAAAAAAACATAAAAAAAAAAAGATCAGAGGAAGTCTCAGCCATTTATAGCTCTACTAAGCAATCTAAATTTTCTTTGCAAGGAATAGGTCCTCAATAGCTACTATCTGAATAAATCAAACTACTGGCGGTATTAGGTATGAACCAAGATGATTGTGCCGAGACCCAAGGGACCTACAAGCAGTGCCCAACAGGCCAGAGGACGCATCAGAAAGGCTGGTCCCTCTCACATAGCTCAAGCTGCTCAGGAATATGTCCTTTGCCAAATTAAAAATAATGTCACAATCTGTCACGTAAAGTGCTCAGATTTTGACTTTGAAGTTACAACACTAGATTTATGGTGTTTTGGGTGGAGCTGGGAGGTAAAGGGAATATATAAATAATTGTAGTACGTTTATATTAAGCAACTAGGGTGATCTCAGCCTTTTTTCAAGGTTCGTCAATTCTCCAGGAGAAGTTTTCATCTTTACAGACATTACAACCTCACTGTAATTTTCTGATTCCTTTTTCTATAAATCAGCACATAATTGTGAAAACTGTTTTCACATTTCAACCCTAATTTAGAAGTGCAAGTAAATCTGGAAAGAACAATTATATTATAACTTTTA